GGAACAGCGTCTCTTGTGCGGATTGTGCTTTCAACATTTTATTATCAAACATGTCCCGCAATTTAGCAACAGTAAAGACGGCATTTTACAACAATCACCGACTGAGCTGATTCTGATGTTAAGTTTGGGTTTTAGGGAGGAACTAATGTGCACCGCTGTGAAGGGAATGAAGTTGCGCAATACAAAACGCAGCTAGTTTTTAATAGCTTTACCTCATGTCTTCTTTTGTATAATCCTTTGAAGCCATAATCGAAAAAAATTTATAAAATTAGCTTAATAAAACAGCCACAGGCCTAAAGTGTAAGCAGATGTTTGAATGTTTAGCTATCATAATTAAACATGGCTTTCATGTTGCGCATGCTGAAGCTCCTCCGCGTGTACGCGATCTCGCTTCTGAATTCCGAATAGCAAAAATGCATCATAGAAAAATGTTTGAAAAACAGCTGGCGACTCTGGTGAGATAGAATTTGCAAGATAATGTATGTATAGCAATAATAAATGTATGTGTGTTTTCTTAATTTCTCCAGTACCGATAACAGAACCGTTAACGTCAGAGCTTATCAATACTCCAGTTTTTCATAATTTAGCCCCGGGACCAATTAAATACCGGGTTTCGTTACCCATCCCTACACACTACACAGACTGTTACACATCACCCTGGACTACATTTCCCATGCTCCATTGCACTAATCACAAGCTCACCTGAAACCAATCACACACAGCTGCTACCAATAACACACACTATATAAATCAGTCTCACACCACCATGCAACGCTGAGTATTGTTTAGCGTGTATCCCTGCTATAGCCGATAGTTACCTTACGGAGCCTGCTTTAAGTTTTCTAGTCTTAGCTTAGTCTTGCCTTGTCTGTGTTTTCTCGTGTTCTGATCACTGCCTGTGTACTTCGCATTACCTCTTTTGTCTTGCCCTGTTCGGATACTGTTTGCCGCTGCCTGGACTTTTGCCTTGTACCTGGATTATCCCTGTAGTCTCGCCCTGTTGGATTACGTTCGCCGTCGACTGACCCTCGCCGTTGACTGACCCTCGCTTGTTTACCCGATTGCTCTTGCCTTGTCTTCTACATACCAGTTTGCCATTGTCTGACCCATGCCTGTTTCTGAACCCGTCTCCTAAATAAAGCTTGCAAATGGATCCTCATGTCTCGT